GTAAAATCTTCGTCACCATTTCATCATTTATTTTGAGTACAGATTAGTGTCATAGTCCACTGATTTTCTGAATAATTCACACCACGTGAATTCATCTGAGTATTGTTGAAAGTCCTAGGATTGCTTCACTCTACCGTCTATGAATTTACGGACTTATTATCTTGCCTAGCTATCTTCAAACTGAAGAGAAGTACTAGTCATCTGTTTCAGCTTTATGAACTAAGTTTCCTGAGGAGTTTTTTATTCGAGAATATCTGATAACCTTGTAAATTAATGTCTTTCAATAATTCCGGTTATGCTACCATTATTTTTTTTGGTGAAGAGGTAATATTGGTCGAGTATCCGGTGACAATGAATTCTCGTAATTTTTGAATTAACAGGCAATTGAATGAAAGATTTTTTCGAATACATATTCTGACTACTGCTTTCAAATCTAGTAGTTCAATTATTTTGAGCATGAGACTTGATTACATTCTAAGCATAATATCAGTGATAAGAGTTATCATGATTAAATTCTGTCTTAAACAGTTCCCTTGCTGTGGTGGGGAACTGGTATTTATTTCATGAATTTCATGATAAACTCGTCCAACAAGGTATCTTTTCTAAACATTTCGTTTAACTGACGAAATATTCCAGTAGAGAAAAACAAGAAAAAGGTTGCAGCAGAGATAATTATCTTTGCAACAAACTCATTCTCATGGCCATAAAGTTAATAAATGTATGAAACACAAGATAATGTGCTTTGAATGAATTTCAGGACCAAGGTCGAAATCAATCGTAAAATATAGGAGGGACACAGATTCGAGTTACGCTCAGAATGACTTGTAAGACCTAAATATCTCAAAGAATGGGGGAAATATGCGTAAAGTAAAGAGGTTCTCCTCCTTACAGTCGTTTCTTTGAAGTAAAGAAATGCATTGTGATATACAAACCAGTGTTACAGAATGCCTAAACATGTTACCTATCCGCCTTATTCGTAACAAAACGCATTTAATGAACCTCATATTCAAAGGTGTCATCACTTCTAGCAATTTCCATGAATGTGTAGTGAAATCCCACGGTAGACATTTGGACGTAATGGATTTTAACACTGTGTAGTTGCCAGTTCACGTATACTTTCTCATACCAACACCTTGAACTTATTTATCGGGCGCACTTGTGAGCTTTCCCCAGGGTTCATTGTTAGAGAGTAAGCTCTCCAAATATTGTAACGAAACAGTTGGAAAGACATAAGGCTAAGATACTTATGTACAGTAAAATTTCGTATAATCCATACGTATAAATTTCAATGTTTAGAAGAAATTCGAATACTTACCCTCCGTACTCTGTTAATCAGATAGAATATCGTATTTCTTGATTCATTTTTTTTATTTCCCAGTATTCGTAAGCTTTCTTGTGTTGTACAGTATTATTTCATTTCTCCTTCGTATCTATCAGCTGCCTTTAACTCCTATCCGAAATTCCATCTAGTATATCCTAACTACAAACTTATGAATGTATATATGCGAGAAGGAGTCTATTGAGAGGATAACTGCTCTTTCTGAAAGCGTGCGTTGACTTTTCCAGTGAAATATATTTAGTTCATGATATCGTATTGAAGTTAATAGGCTACTTATGGAAAATCTGACCATCACAATGAATGAAACGAGATTTAAGTATTTAAACTGGGGTAAGCACGCGGAACATTTCCTAAGAATTGACAAGACTAGTGAGTGACGCTCTAAAGGTATCACTGTGCAGTTTGGCTTTGTTATTATCATTACTGTGTTATTATTCATTTGGACTCCAAGTGGAACCTAGGGCTACAAAAGCGCATCTTCGCTTTGTCCTGTTCTCCACAACCTCCTCTAGCTGAATATGCGATTGCCCCTAGTATATCATTTCCTCCTCACATGATCTTTTCCGTGTCATTCTTGAACTACCAACTCGTCATTTCTCACTAGAGGTCCAATCCAGGACTTGGCGCAGGGTCCTTGTTAATTAAAAATGCCCTTATAGATGTTTTACGCAGAAAGATACGACTTCATCTGAAACGTGTTTGGTCAATTTACTGGATCGAAATGTAGGAAAAACAAACGATGGTACGATCGAAAAGTCCATCTACAGAAAAGAAACCTGGACTGGGCAATATCCTCACTATAACAGCTTTTGTCCCATAAGCTATAAGCTTATCCATCTCCATTTTCTCCTATATATTTGTTGAGCAATAGGCTCTTGGTTGGTTTGTTCCCAGCCACAGTTTCTTGTTGCTAATTCTTTCTGGCCACCTAATCTTCAGTATAAAGTCAGCTAGCTCCAGCTATTGATGAAAGTTTGCAACCTGTTGGAAATCCTTTTCGTGATACGCCGCCTAGTTACTGACCCGCATAGAATTACCGACCAGCTTAACATTGGTGTTGAAAATCCGAATCTTGTTCCTTGTGCTGAGTGTAAAAGATTTCCAAACTGGTTTCAGTTTGGAAAGATGAAGGTGTATCTCGCCTTTCCGGTTGTAACACACAGTTGGAAGCTGTTAACGTCAACCATTAGAGTTTCCAAGTCAAACTTAGATTATCTAAACAGTTGATGGTTGTTTCATTTTCATAAAACCAAACCTAAATACAGTAAACTCGGATGTACTCAGATTAAAGAGCTGAATTACTTCAGACTACTCAAATCCCTGCTAAATATTTGTATAAATTAGTTCTAAACTAGATATAATTGTTTTATTTGCGAAGTTTAGAGTTTGAGGTAAAAAAAGCTATTAGTTTCGTTGTGTAACTCTTGGTATCCCTCAGCAACGTACGTTCAGAGACAAAGACAGACTTTGTATTGTCGTCTCCAAGCATCCATAGTTCACCCGGCCAACGTTTGATTAAAATTCCATGGATATCAATCTTAAAGCTAGTCATTAATGTGCAGTAGGTAAATAGAATAAAATTTTAAGAGCTAGTTTGCAAGGATTTGATTCGTCTCAAGTTTGGCCGTGGACTGATATCAGATAGAGAACCACTGGAAAACCAGGGAGCACTGGATAGATATGTCGCGCTAGTCTACGACTCTGGTTTTCAATTATTCTCTAACTCATATCAAGCGCCTAAAACCTGATTTGTGCGTTCAAAAAGAAGCAGTTATCAGTCTTTCTTTGCCCTGGTAACTAGATATTTTTCATCCTAATGCGAGATACCAAAAAGTTTTCATTTTGTATGATTATTATTGCTCGGAATTGTGTTCAATTTGCATATATATATATATATTATTAGTGTATGTGTATATTGATGGATTGATTTCTGTTTAAATGAGCTTTGGGCAAGTATGTTAAAATTGTTTTTGTAGATACATTTAATAATGTCTTTGGCCTGTAAGCAGCTGACGAGAAGGCAAATAAATAAAAGATGGTACCATTTTATTCTGCTAAACTGTAGTTCTTGCTTTGTTCAAATTCATTAAGGGGAACAAATGTATGAAATTTCATATCAATCTGTGGTCAAATTTGAAACAAACCAAATACTTACAAACTAACTCTTGAAAATTAATCTAAGGCTTGCTAGTGACTGGCTGTAGGACGATGTTGTCTGAAGTTAAAGTGAGAAGCCCTGACCAGTGGAGTCCATCTGGTCAAGAGTGAGAACAAATACTCACCGCCAGTAACACTGTCTAGTGCTAGCCTCACTAAAATCTTGAATTAATAAAAGTTGGAATTCATGTGCTGGCCACTGAGTTGAGTCCTCGTAGGTGAATGGTGTACTAACTAGCTTCCCTTGTAACCGGGAGGTCCTGGGTACTAACTCATGTGGGAATAAACGGCCGTCCAGGACTCCATGATTTCCAAAATTTCTCCTCGGTCAAACTTGAAATAGAATAAAATTTAAAGCCGAAAACTGTTTAAGACTGTTTAAGATTTGTTCAGATTAGTTTTCAAACTATTTTCTTGATTTTTACTCACAGGAAGAAAGAGAATCCCATTGGGTGCGTACTGCCGATGATTACCAAACTAGGATGAAACAGTAGCTGTCCAATACTCTCTGGTTTTCAGTGATATCAATCCGTGATCAACTCATGTAAAAACATAACTAACCCTTACAAACCAAACTAAAGAAAATTAATCTGATGCTCACTAGTGACTTGCTACAGGATGGAGTTTCCTGGAGTCAGCAGTTCTAGTGAGAAGTCGTGACCGGTGAGGTCCAATTACACGTCAAGTGTGTGGATGGATGTTCCACCAACGATAATGGTTGGGGTCGCGCTAAATCACCAAATGGTAGAGGTTAGAATTCATGAGAAAGAGAAGTCGAATGCTTTCTAAAAACAACTTTATTTCACCTTTTTCTGAATACAAATCTGCAGAACAAATTCATGACTGTAGGAAAATGATGAAAACAAAACAAAACAAACAAAAAAAATAAACAAGCAGCGTGTGCAGTGAAGGGAAGAAATGCCAATAATTTTGTCTACTTAACAATCAGTATCACTGTTTATTTTGTTTTGTTGAGAGTGCTGAGATGAGTGCAAACATACAGGTGAGATGAAAAAACGACACACACGAGAAGGAGGAGAAGGAGATGAGATTTCTACTAATCTCTATCTTTTACACGAAATCATACATGAAATTGATTAAAGGTATACACAATCTGACTAGAAAAAGTTAATATTTTACACAATTTGAACACTGCAAGCAAACCGAAAACACTAATAGGAAAATATATCACAGGAACTGTAAAAACACGGAGTAGAAGAAGTGAAGAAAACGACTGTGTCTGTCGCTTCTAGGGAACCTCTTTGAGAGAGGAAGACAAAGACAAAGACAAAGTGATTTCAATAGCAAAATATATATAGTAAATGTGAAAAAAACAGTACCACTGAACTTTGGCTATTAAAGAAATAGAAAATGACGTGAATACAACAGGAAATCTAAGTAATCTGTTTAAGTGGTGTGAGTAGGGAAGGTTGTAAGTAGTCGGTGAGTTATTCTTTCAATACACGTGCTCGAAAATGAGTAGGGTGCATTTGTCTAAGTAACATAACATAACATGTAAAAAGACGAATATAATTATTTCGCGGAGTCTGTTGATCATGACGATGAAGATTTCGATGGTGGATTGGCCAGCGACCAAGGATATTGTCTGAAAGAACTGATTATCACTGTACTGCCCCAACGAATGGAAGACGGTAGAGCATAGATTAAACAGCCAATATGTTCAAGTATAGGTCTGTCTACCCAATAGAATGGTCGAAATACAGAGACTTCTGATGAATTCAGCAATCCGGATAGCAGATGAGGCCATGTTCTTATGTAAGGTGAGGCTAGAGTGACACCGATGAAAACACCAGCTACATGGACTGGATCACGTAATCCAGAAACACGGAATTGCATTCCTCGACCAGCTAAATGTATTGATCAAAATAGAAAATGTTTAATACCACGTTAGATATGAATGCCAGATTTAAATAAAGATAGAATAATAATGAAATTAAAACTTAAAGCAACTCAAAGCTGATTCTATAAGTTCCATTAATGAAATCAGTAATTTAGCAAGTAACATGAGTGTGTGATGTTAACTGTTTTACTAAGTCGGCAGAAAGGCGTATTGAGTAAGTATACGTGTAAGCTTTATATTATCATCTCCTTAGATTTTTGAATCCCATGAATCAGGTTATACCATGGATTGATATCACTTGGAGAACCATTGAGAACCAGGAAGCACAAGACAGATCTTTCGTCCTAGTTTGGGGCTTACAAGCCCAAGACCTTCCCGTTACAAGGCAAGCTAGTATAACATTCAGCCACTGGTACCTAATTTAGTGGCCAGCCCATGAATTCTAACTCCTACCAATTCTTGGCTTTATCGCGAACAGTAACCAATGTCGTCGGTGGGACTTCATCCTCCCTTCCGACTGAATGCAGCCCAATGCCGATGAGTCCCAAACTGAGACGAAACGGCTATCCAGTACTCCCTAGTTGTCAGGGGTTCTCTAACTGATACCAATCAATGGTTTAACCTGAAACAACTAGAATCCCATGTATGTTCTCTATAAACGGGGATTTTCAATGAGGAATTATTTCTGATATTTTTCTTTTCCCATCAGATTTCGGTACATATTCTTCCACTGACCTACAGGAATTTACCCAGTTAAGGGCAAACTTTAAACATTTCTGGTTATTCCATAAAATTATCTTCTCTAAGGTAGATTTAGTCACCAGTCGAGATCATGTAGATAATCAAAGATACTGGGCAACTGTTCTGTCCTTGTTTAGAAACATTCAGCGGAGCATATTCTTAAGTTCAAGAGAGGTTGACACCAGATGAGCGCAAAGACTTTAAGCCTTTCGTTGATATCGTTCAACTTCTGCACATTACAAATACAGTAAAGTTGTCGTTTAATTTCGTTTCTGAAGCGTTACTTACAGAGTTAGCTTAGTGGCACTTATGAGTCATGACGTTGAAATAAATCTAGGGGAAATTCATCTAAGCGCTGGTTACAAGTGAAAAAAAACTCTTCGGTATATTATAATTATTATTATTACTTATTCTTCGTGTTTCTAAAGAAACAGTAGGTGACACACCGATTATTATATTATTATTATTATTGTATCCTTTAATTCCTAGAGGAACATAGGGCTTCAGCCGTGCGTCTCCATTGCGTTCGGTTCTCTGCCAACGTCTTCACATAGCTCCAAGTCTGCCCACACGCTTTCATCTCCTCTTCACATGACCTCCTCCAAGTCACCCTTGCACTGACGACCAACTCGCCGCTTCCCTTTCGGGTTCCACTCAAGCAATGGCTTGTCTAGTGATGTCACTTGATGGTTTCCTCAGAGTATGGCCAATTCATCTCCATTTCATCCTGCCTATTTGTTTCACAATCGGTTCCCGGTTGGTTCGTTCATTGCCAGAGATCTCTGTTGCTGATCTTTTCTGGCCATCTGATCTTGAGTATTGAGCGAAGACAACTGTTAATGAAGGTGTGTAGTTTGTTTGAGATGCTCCTTATGACGCGCCAGGTCTCTGATCCATCCGTATAGTAGCACTTAATTCACATTGGAGTTGAAAATCCGTATCTTTTTTTGATGCTAAGTGCTGTTGACCTCCACACAGACTTGAGAGTAGTGAAAGCTTGTCTTGCTTTTCCGATCCTTGCTTTGATATCCTCGTCAGTTCCGCCTGTATTTGTAACGATGCTTCCCAGGTAGGTAAAGGAGGTTGTTTCTTTCAGGTTCCTCCCATTTATGCTGATTGTTGTCAGTTGTTGTTGTTGCTGTTGATGGTGTTGCCCAGGAATTTTCATCACCTCTGTTTTATCTATGTTCACCTGAAGTCCTATCTTTGATGCTTCTTCTGCTAACTTGTTGCTTTTCGCTTGCATATCTTCCAGTTTGTGGGAAATCAGACATATATCATCATGGGCAAAGTCCAGATCCTCCAAGTTCTTTGTGTGAGTCCATTATATGCCTACTTCCTCATTGCCCGTTGTTTGCCGCATTATCCAATCTACTGCAATCAGGAAAATCATTTGCCATAGTAGGCAGCCAGTCAGCTTGTCTTACTCCTGTACTCACTTCGAAGGATTCCGTAAATTTCCCGTTGTGGATTACTTGGCAAGCAGCATTGTCGTACAGCTGTTGGATGAGATGTATAATTGTCGGTGGCACCCCATAGTAGCGAAGTAGTTTCCAAATCACCTCTCGATCGACGCTGTCGGAGGCCTTTTCAAAGTCGATGAATTTGAGATGGAGAGGTGACTGCCACTCCAAGGTTTGTTCAATGATGATCCGTAATGTGGCTATCTGATCAATGCATGACTTGTTTCTCCTGAATCCAGCCTGTTCCGGTCGAAGTTTTTCATCCAGGTTGGCATGTTTGATTCTCTCCAGGATGATGCGGCTTAGTATTTTGCTTTGGATGGACAGGAGCATAATTCCGCGCCACTTCTTGCATTAACTTAGGTGTCCTTTCTTTGGTAGTTTGAGTACTGAGGCTCAATATTTTGCTTGGAGTGGACAAGATTATCATGTCTCACTAGTTCTTGTGCAGGAATAAATCACCTTTCTTTGACAATAAATCACCACCTTTGACAAGGTGGCCCTTATTCCGACTCACAGGTACCTTTTCTTCCTTCCTCACTTTCCGAAGTAGTGGAAAAACATGTGCACCATGGTGTCTTGGTTCATTTTCAATGTCTCTCAGGGAATTCAAGTGGTTCCGCTAGTTTTCCGTCTTTTGGTAACCTTATGGTCTTTAATACTTTTACTTTTGTCCGAGGGTTGATGGTTACCACCGTTATTTCTGGATGAGTCCTTTGTAGTTCCAGCTGTTTAATCATAATGTTTGATTGACTTCATCTATGCTGACCTCTCTTCGGATAGTGACCTGACTATCTGATATAGTTTTGCAAGATCTGTCTTACCTGCAACCTGTTCTGCTTCAGTTGCTAGAGTGTCATAAAAGCGTCTCCTCTCTTTCCTAGTACTCTTTTTTACTTTTAAGCACTGAGATGTTATTCAGAAAGAAAATGGAAGCTCCGTAATTAAACCACTCAGTTAAGAGAAAGCAACTACATCAAAATAATCTGCCTAATCTACAAATCTTCATCCCTTTAAGATTATTCTCAGCTTCTGTTCTGCTCTGGCACGCCCTCTGCCTCAGCATTCGACTGTTCTTTATCAGCTTCCAGGTGTCCTTCGTAATCCATTCTTTGTCTTGCCTCTTATTCTTGCCTAAGACGTCTCATGGAGAACAAATTGCCTATTTTTCTGCACTCTGAAGTTCCAGCAGTGATGAGTGTAATCTCTATGCGGCAGGAGTGATAGCCTCGTACTCAGCCTTAGCTCTTTTCCTAGCTTAGAACTGGTAAATAATGAAGATGACGTTGTCCATGTATTTATATATGCTGACAAAGGATTTGTATTATAAATGTTAGAAACTAAACAACTGTGTTCCTGATAGAATATTTCGGGAACGAGTGTGATACTATAATTGGGCATTTCAGCTATTATTAGAGAACGAAATCCAATGAATTCTACTGTGGTGAGTGCTACTTAAAATCAAATATAAGTATTATATCAGTAAACGAATTCAGAAAGGTAACAATGTGTTTAGAACGCCGGTGAACAGAACTGTGAGAAGAACTCTGTGCGGAATCCAACAAGCTATCGAATATGGTGATATTCGGTCAATTTGCAAATGATGTTTCAATCAAGCATTGGAGATATGATATACCAAATTTATGTCCCTACAATGAGTGTGTCCTAATAAACATATCTTCAAACCTCATCGGTCTTTTCGTCTTTACACTCGGTGTCGCTGCTTCTGCCGGAGATGTTTGAGGAGGGGATGTGAGGACATTCCTCAGGGAATTCGAAGCCGTCGTGGACCTAGTTGGAGTGTGGGAGCAGAGGAAGAAACTGGTCGTCTTGGGGCCTCTGCTGAGAGACCGTGCGAAGGCTGCCTACGACGACGCCCGGGAGGTCGAATGTGATACGGCTTGGGACGGGGTCGTCGAGAGGCTCGTGTGCGAGTTCAACAGCCCCATAGATAGACAAGAGACACTGCAGAAGTTTTGGACTCTGAGGCTTTTTCGGAAAGGGGGTTCATTGGTTCTCACAGTGACTCTGGAAAATCTTTTGGGACACGCATTACCCACCTTGAACGAAGATTCGCGAGAGCAGTTAAGACCTGATTCTACAGTCTTATTGAAGGGTTTATCAAAAACTGTATTGACTGACAAAAGCATTTCCAGCTTAACATCAAAGATGAGCCATCATTCGACATTTATAGCCAATTGTTAGCTTGATAGTTAAGCACAGAGAAGGGTTAGAAAGTGATTCTGTCTAGTATGACCGAATACTGGTTAGTGATATCCATCCTTTTTTCCGACCAGTGGTAGTTCTTTCAATAATTTTTGACTATTTCCTGACAGAAATGATCTACAATCAGCAGTCCTGTTAAGACCGTTTGACAGGAGAAATTAGATGACAGGTAACATGAAAAAGTTTCATCCTACCATAGGGGTTGATAGGAATTCTTGCTTAACCGAAGACTCAATGGTTGCTGAGAAATTTTAAAAATGTGCGTTTGCAATTTTAGAGAAAATAAACCATAATCCCTTTATAATCTTAACTGTCATCATTCATGGCCTGATACTTCATGTATAAGGACAAACTGCAGAGAAACTGATAACATCTTCAGTACTCAGCATGACAATATGTAATGTATTTACTTACATAAGAAATGAAACAATGGAGCATACTTCGTAATGAGCATTATTCTTAGACGTAGTAGGCAAGATTTAGGAATAACATCCCAATAACATTAATAAGTCAAGTCAGGTGACGAGATTTAAATGGGTTAGCCTTAAGCTTGATTCAAAGCAAATGAGTTTAAGGTCTAGTGTTACTGCCCACCAATCAAATATGTAACATAATGTTAAATATAACCATGATTAGATGATGAAAAAGTGGCGAAGTACTTACCCATTATCTGATGTAATTGTTCCCTTGGTGTAAATGTTGCACCATACAACCAGTAGACATGTCTTGGAACATACAGTGTTGCTGAAATATGACAAACAGGTAAATAATGAGATCTTCATTTTAGTTAAAATCTAATTGAAGACGAATTACACCAACGTACTTCGTGTCAACCTATTTATGTAACTATTAACCGAGTTAAGAGGAGACTACTGAAATGTTAGAATAACTGGGTGGTACATATCCGTAAGGATGTTCAATTGTAGTCTCTGCATTCACATATTTCGAGTTCATACTCAAGGTGACACCTAAACTGTGTATCTCAAAGTGTATCTGCTCACAGGATATGCGTTCCAATGACCCTGCCGGCGCCACATTGGTGGCTTGCTTAAAATTTGGGCTAACAAAAACCTCCATTAATATACTGCATTAGATTTCTCTTATTCTGTATGTTTAAGTCTTGTGACATATGACCTCTAATAGTATTATTTGCCCTTGCGATTTCTAGCAAACACGAGAAAAAGTATAATCGTTGGCTGCAACGTATCCCAGTACAGTGAGATAACTGTTCCTGAGTTATACCCTTGGTTGAAAAAATGCACTCTTGAACTTTTAGCCATTGGCATTCAACTAAATATTGTGTATTTCTCGAAGGAGACGAAGAAGAGATATCAAGTCAGATAGAACTACTTCGCACAATCTATTATCAACTAATTTATTATTCTAATTTATTACTATTATTATTTATTATTATTCACTATCTCACACTTATTGCGTCATGCCAACTTCTGTCTCCTTTCTAACTTACAATTAGTCATCCCTTCTTACACCTTACATTATGTAATACAATTTTCCAAGGACAAAATTTACCAGTATCTGATTGGTCTAAAGATTTCTTTGTTAATTATAATTACAATTGTACAGCTCATGAAAATGAATCGTCGGAAAGAAAATTTACTTCGCTGTTTGTGCCTTTTTCTTATGACTCAATATGGAAATATTTCGTTCATTGAAGAACTAACTTATTATTTGAAGATCCCGGATGAAGAGAAACTATCATGCGATAAACTACACTAAAAATTCTGTTTTTTATTCTTATACGTTCCCAGTGGAACAAAGGGCTTCGGTAGCAGTGGTGTCTACTTTTATGGGATGGGGTTGACAAACCTTCCCTCTTTACCAGTTTTATTATTGGCTTAGTGAGGTAAAGGAGTGCGTCAGCCGGGGATGGAACACTGGACCACCTGAGGCGTGGTTGGCGAGCATTCTACTGCTGCGCCACCAACGCACAAAAATTCTGTACATTATATAAACATTTTTCAAAATAAAGCAATTGTTATTACCATCAATTTTAGTTTCAAAGTACACACGAGAAAAGAATTATGCAGAGGTTTGGTGGGTCAATCGCAAAAGCGTAATAATTTTGACGCCTGTTTTTTTGAATTGTTACTAAACTAAGAGTGTATAACTGGAGCATTTGCGAAACAGCCTCTATCAATGATTCGTTTGCTGAACACACATCAATAATTCTAAAATAGACTGATCAACTGCAGTTATTTTACAATAAAGGCAAATGAATCGATCTACGAGAAAAGTATTCGTAAAAGCGGAAGGACGCTCTGTTAATGAAAAAAAGTGTATACTCTTAAACAGTTAACAATAAGTGCTTACAAAGTAAGCGAGGAATGTATTAAAGAAGTAGACAAAACTTAAGTTTTAATTATTCTGGTAAAGATCGAAGTGCTTTCAGTAAAATTGAAATGATCAGACCACTGATATACTTTCTTTAGGCAGGTTAAATGATTAATCAAGAAATGAATTAGGTGAGAAGAATACTAAGCATCTGTATTTTCCCTATTCTATATATATATATATATATATAATATACCATTTGAAAAGAAATACTTTGTAATGTGTTTCCTTGATTTTACAGGTAGTATTCTCAGCAGGTTGCTGTAATGTTGGCTAATGTCTGACAACAAACAAACTGCATCCCTAAGTGTTTTACAAATCTAACCTGAGTTTCAACAGAAGTAAAAACAACCAGCAGTTACTCTAGATACGATAAAAATTACCAGCGAACTACACATCTGCTAAAAAATGGCGACTGACGCCTCGCTGTGTAAGAACTGGCGTGGAATAATGCTGTTGTGTACTTACGCCAAGTACAGTGAAGTTAAGATTAGTTGGTATGAAGTAGATAACCCTGAAATCCTCGTTAACCGGAATCTTGTATTCTGTATCCACAAAATGCGATAGAAGAGCGCTATGAATGAGTTTCGTTTGTCCTATACTCAACCAAGAACGCAGGATGAAGTTCGGAAATCCGACGAGAAACACTCCTAATTGTATTGCTTATGCACCTAAATGGCTCCACATGAACATTCAAAGCGATAGACACATAAAGAAGAGGGGAAATTAGGCAGTTTATCTTAAACTCCCAAGCGCAAAATAGGGGTGGGTGGTTATGAAGACACAGCATTATTCAGCAGCACTGAATGCTCTTTTTACAGAATTCTCTAGCCACTGTGTTAATTATCTCACTGATGTTATCCCTGAGGAACTGAAATTGTAAGAATCAGGCCTTTTTTGGAGTAGTAGTGGTAGTGAATAATATTTCTGCCCTACTACTCACCAAATAGTTATTTATTCGAAATATGAACAAAAATATATCCCCTGAATAACATCTAGAATATATTGGATCAACAAAACAGTTAACGAACAAATGAGACATTGTCTGAAAGGGGATTATATCTCTTGAATAAATCAAAGCAATCGTGGGCTTTAAGTAAATAAAAATGATAACAGAACTCATTGTTTGTTTGTTTGCTTGCTTTTCCCAAAATTAAACTATAAAATTGACTCTTAAATAATAAAAACCTGATCATAAGGTTTGATAATGCTGTATTTACTGTCGAAGAGTTTCACTTGTGATTACGTATTTGTCTGGATTACTTCATTTTTTAGAACAGAGCAATGCAAACAATGCAAATTTTCAGCGCTGTTCAACTGGCATATTATCGTTCAGCCTTCCTCTCCACAGCGATGATACCACTTTAATATCGTTTAATATCAGTCTGTCACTTGCATGTGGATCACTGAGGTTCGTGAAATACTTTTACAAGCAGTTTGTAACAGATAATGTATTTGTTTCAACAAAACCGGCTACTGAAGAAAGACTGTAACATATTACGCAGTATGTTAAAGGTTTTCAGCAGTGAAAGCAACGTGCCACTTAACCAGCTTGTTAATATTCTGGTCGCCAAGCACATGGACTCATGTGAAAAATTGGCCAAATCCATTTTATCTAACTCAAACCACCCTGTTCACCCACAACTCTCCTCTTGCATCTTATCAGGCAAAACCAGAAGCCTATATAGGAAACTATATGCTGGTACTAGCAAGTTCAAAAACTCAACCATACCTTACTTAGCTCGTGTTCTGTGCGAAAAAGAAAGCATTAGGCGTGATACTTATAATTCATTAAATAGTCTGTAGAACAACTGGATCTCGTCTTTCCAACTCATATCATTTATAGGTACAACATTCTCTTTCTTTCTTTTCCTTTTCTCTCTCTCTCTTTTTTCCGTTATGTGCTGCTTTGTTTCTTTCTCTTGCTTACGCCAGTAAATATGATAGCAGCTACTTTTCTAACACCTTCAAACACTGTTCAACTTTGGCTTTGCTACCGACATGCCAATATGTTGTCATAATGAACTGAGATTTCCTTAATCTATGTAGAATTCTATTTATTGATAATGTACTAACTGGATGCAGTACTTTAGTAAAAATGCTGAGAATTCCATTCTGTATCACAAGTACTGTTTTGGAATAAAGCAAGTTATTATTATTATTATTAGACAGTGTAAGTAGTGCTGTATGCTACTGACACGATTTATAAGTAGGTTTATCAACTTCAAGAATATCGAATTGCAGAGAGATGGATTTAATCAAAGATGCTAGCAAAATGACACATGGAAAACATGAAAGGAAGACGAAGAAGCACAATACCGAAGATATGTGCAAATCACTATTCTAATTTATGGTAGACGTATTTCGCTTATATCTGTGTGTCGAGTTGCCACAAAGCAATTCCCCTATCAAATTCTCTAGTCTTCTGCCGTTAAAAAATCACAACTATGTGACTATATGAGACATATCAGCTTTTAGTTATACGTTAGATTAAGTTACTGGTTTAGGGTAGGACTGTGCATTTGTAAAGACAATAAGTGAGGGGTGAAAAGTTGATCACAGTGTCAGCGTACATTCTTCGCGTTTCTCAAGACTTGCAGTAAAGCGTGAATGTCATTCACTAGTTTTCTGTCTGTGTTTGTATGACTATTGGCTCTTTATCTTTCCTTCTCCTCTTAGATTTTGTGTGATAACTTCCATTGGAAAGCTTTTTTTGTTGATGCATCTGCATTATTCTGCATAACTAAACTAAGTGGCGTGACAACGACGCTTTGCGACATTACATTAAATCTGAAGGATCTTTCTGTAGACTAATGCGTCTTCATACGCCTTACAGGTTTCTTTTTCCAAAAGCTCTTTACATTTATTTGTTCTGAGCAGGCATGTTTTCAGACACAGCGGTAGAATGCTCGCCGACCACGCCTCAGGTGGTCTGGGGTTCCATCCCTTGCCGATGCACTCCTTTACCTCACTAGGCCAGTAATAAGACTGATAAAGAGGGAAGGTTGGGCATGAGGCTAGCAGCCCCATTTCGTGAAAATAAACACCACTACTACCGAAACTTCAAGCCTCTAGTTGAAAAGCGCCCTACGTTCCACTGAGAACTTAAAGGATTGAAAAATATTTTAAAATTATCTATAAGTTCAACTACTTATAAAAAGCTTGAGTTGGTTGTACTACTGGAAGTATCTCAAGTAAATGTACGCATATGAAAAATAAAAATAGAATTATATTTACTGGATAAAGCATCCCCGTAGAGATATGATGAAAAAGAAGCTTAAAATCACTCGTTTATACTAATTACCTACTGAAATTGACTTATTGTTACAAGGATGAATAAAATGTGTGACGAGTCGGTGGTCACCAGAAGTGTCAAACATTAAGAACGAATC